ATGCATATGCTTTTGTTTAATGTGCTGTGCTGAGTAGTGATTTGGGTTCAAAAGCTGTATGGCCAGTTAACATGTTGTAGTTATGTTAATTAAGGGAAGTGAGAGACATAGCTAAGTAGCTTTGGTACAGCAAAGCGTCTGATGCAGCTGTATTGCCCTCTGGTAGCACTGGTTCTAGTACTACCTCAGGGAACTCTTTATCATACTGTTGCTTAATACTGGTAAGCATGTCCAAACACAGTCGTCTCATCTCTAGCCTGCTCTTTCAGCAGTGTTCCATCTGGCTGCAGCAGAGTGGGATGGGTTGAAATGCTGAAAACTAATCCTGTGGCTCAAGTCATGCACAGAACCAGTGCAGCCATGGTGACTGTATCCTTTTGAACTGAGACTTGAAGAAAAAAATCCAAACTCATGCACCTTTTGAGAGTACTAACTGGAAGAGAATAGAATTAATGCTTAAGAAAAGGAAACGTCTGCTAAAATTCATACACCTAACCTTAAGGCTGTCTACATAAATTGAAATCGTTTTTCCTTAGCTTTTCAGACAAAAAGGGAAGAGTGTACTGTTGAAGCATCAGCATTACTGATTTGTACATTTCCAGAGTAGTGGTACAAGAGTTCAGGACTTGTTTACGCTTTCAGATTATCAGGTGGTTGATGTTGAGTTGTACAAATTCAGTCTTCTATGTCACCTTCTTATTTATCGTCAGATTCAGAAGAACTTCTACTCTGCAATCGTGCAGCAGGCTGAAGGTGATATAATTTGGGGTAAAACCTGAAGCGACCAATCCTGGTTGCCCTGTTCCTAGTGATGGTTCCCCCTTCCTTGGCTGTGCTGCCCCTGGTGACTGACAGACCCTTTGAGCTGTTGCAGCATGTGAACTTGGCAGAAAAACTCTTTCCCTTCTTCATCCACCAACTGCATTTGTCACCTGTTGGAAATGGCAGAAGTTTGACCAGTGTTGGGGAGGCAGCAGAGGGACACTGCACAGCAGGCAGTGGTGCGGAGCTGCTTTGTGTAGCCCTCGTAGCCTCCTGTAGCACTCCTGTCAGACCAAAGGGAATTTCAATCCTGGGCCTCGTTCTGTGGGGGGGTGGTGACATTTCAGCATACAAGTGTGCACTCTAAGCAAGGTGTTTAGATCTGAAAGCCAAAGCATTCAGAGTTTAAGGCCTAGCATAAGTGAGACACTTCTTAGTGTTTAAAGTTGCCTTGGTTATCACGCAATTTTTTTTTATGAATTTCACTAGCTCACAATTTGGAATTCTGAACTAGATCAGATACACTAATTTCTCTGCCCTTCATCTGTCTCCACCCTGCCAAATTCATGGTGGTGGACAACATTTTGAGGCCAAGTTTATTTTCTCTGAAGACCATCTGTTCAAGGAGTTGCTTATATAAATAAAGTTTTTGGGAAGAGGTGTTCCTGATTAACTTCTGTAGTAAGCCCTAAGACACGGTGTTCTAAAGAACATGTTACTATCTTTATTTTTCCCACCAGACATTTGGAGAGGTGTGTGGTAAGGAGCAATGCTGAGTCTTAAATGATGATTTCACAGTGCTATGCCTTGAGCATTAACATTGAACAGTTTTGTATTGCTAGACTGTAATTTCACTGGGAAATCTTTCTGGACCAATAAGCCAGTGGAAAAAAGGGAATCAGAAATCTATTTTTTACTTAGGCACAGTGTTGCATAAAAACACTTGCATTTGTTCTGAGTACAGTATAGCCCGAAGAGGGAATAGAACTAAACCATGCAGTGGCCTATGCTTCCCATTACTAATTGTTGTTCAGACACCTTTACTGTTCCTGAAGAGATGTTGGTGTTCTCCTAGTGGATTTGTCAGCCCCCATGATGGGCTGTGTGGACTAGAAAAAGAAACTGGAATTTTTTCACTGGGGTGTTTTACATGGCAAAAACCTAATTATAACAACTTTATTACAGATATAGTGGGTTATATAAAGTTACTGTTTTGAATGCATGGAATGAATTACTGTAAAAACAGCACTATTCAGTAGCTTGCAGTTCTTGCCCTTTTTTTTTTTTTTTTCAAGGATGCACGAATGTTTCAGAGGGACCTGTGTAGTTTCAGTGTTTGGGCCAATAGAGATGCATGGGAATGGTTTTAGAAGTAGACATGTCCCAGTCCATGCAGCATTAATAAAATTAGATTAGTCTTGTTTATGGCAGCTGGTCACATAGTGGTTAACTTCTCTGTCTAAAAAAGTGTAAATAAATTTCATCAGGTAATACTTTAGTCTTTAAACAGGCTTTACCATGCTGTTGCACTCCAGTGAAGATGGATGCTCTCCTGGATAGTTGTGCCTTGCTTTAGTTTTCAGGTATATCAGATAAACGTGAGCATAGATATGTTCTAGTGGTGATGAGTTTCCGTAGTTTTGTATTTGAATGTAATACGTATACAAGACAGTTCTTACATCCTGCCTTTGCACGTTATCTTCAGGTTTAAATTTTTGGTATCTTCCATCATGGCCCCACTTCTGCCTGACAGAAGTACCATGTTAATGTGGCTGGATTTATTGCTGGATGTGAGCCATCCTTGGATATAGGAAAGCCAGATTTTAAATAGACTTGAACTTCACCCAATCAGTTGACTCATTTTATTATTATTTTAAGGAAAGAACTCCCGTGGCTTTTCTTTTTTTTCATACTGCAGTCCCTTTCAATACCTAATCTGTGCTGTGGATGGGAACAGTCTCAGCCAGTAAACCATCTATACCACGGAGTGGAAGTCATTCTTTAAACTCTCTACTCTTGTAGATTCTGAGGTGGACTGAAAAATTGACCAGATTGAAAAATTGACCGGACTGACCAGATCAGGCTTCTGGTGGAATACCCTTCCCAGGGTATGCTCTAATACTTGCAGTGCTAGTATATTGTTAACTTTGATTACACTAGTGTTTTTATTTTCCTATATAATCCTACTGCCTTGAATTCAGAACCTGATTGTTCTGGTGCTGTACAATGATATTTAGACATTGAAGTTTTCAAACACAAAGAGGAATAGAGAAATACCAGAAAGACATCCTTGTAAGGGGAGGAGTAATAGTGGTTTTCATTTGGACAGTTTTACTGGCAATTGAAATCTCTGTGGACAGTGTCTTAAGAATTTGCAAACTCTTCTGAAAGTGCATTGAGCTAATCAGGCTTCGTATTCTGCTCTCACATGACACAATTGAGGAAGTGACATTCTCTCCCGTCTTGGAGTTCTTGTTTTGAAACGTATGTATTTGAAATGCAGAAATAATTAAATTAAACTTTAGTAAAGCAAACTAGGTCTAGTAAACTTACTTACTTTTTGTGCTCTAGTTAGTCACTTGACTCACAAGGGATTGTCATATCTACTTGACATGTAGACCTGAAGGACTACAGATGAAAAACACGTGACCTTTGCAAGTATTATGGTCAATGTATTGCATTGATCTTCAGTTCATGTGTATATTGGTTACTGAAATAACCTTAGGGAAAGTTGTGTTTAGTGTTTGTATACATTAAGGCTTGAAGTCTTTGTGCTGTTGTGAATAAAATGCTGTTGGTTCCTGAACTGTTGGCGATAACAAGCAACATGGTATTTCAAGCCACAAAACTAGCCCTAACAAAGCTAAGAAAAAGCACTCTTATTGGGTGATTGTTTAACTAGAATGCAAGAGTTTCTTTTGGTTCAAGAGGAATTTATTTGTAGTGTATATCTTTAGGTTGACAGACTATTAAATCATCTGCAAAGATCATGAAACAGCTTTGAAGACACAGCTGTTTAACACAGAAGGTGTAAAGTTAAATCATTCTTCTCTTTGGCAGAGTACTTGAAATGCTTTTGAGGTCTGTGGTTTCGTGTTGGGTTTTGTTTTTTTTTTTTGGACAAAGATATATTTGTGACAAGCTCTGATAGAGCTTTTTGGAGAAATACTAGGTAGCCACTGACATGGATTAATGAACATGCTTGTATATTTGCTACCTTTCTTAGTTGCTAGTATTTCTACTTTTTTTTCCTATGAACAATATTACCCATGTTCCTAAAAGAAACAAGTCTTGTCTTGATTGAAACCTGCATTAAAAAAGCAAAGTCAAAAAGCCCTCTAACTGGTGGAAAGGGAAGGTGAATGTTTATATTAGAAATTCATCTTACAACTGCCAGAAATGGTACATGAGAAAGAAGCATCAATTGATAGGATGCTATTTCTTGCCTAGCTCGTGTTGACCAAAGCACAGGCAGGTAAGTGTCACTCTGAGGCCAGTTATGGATATCTAATTAAGCTCTTTAATGTTACTTTGCTTTACATTCCAAGAATTAAACTATCAAAAGCAGGGGTTGTCTTAATGATGAATTTTAGGTGACCAAATCTGTCTTAAAAGAGCTGGTTACTTTATAAGTCTATATGTGGACTGTATTGTTTTTTTTCCATAAGATAAACTGATTTCAAATTGAAACTGGCTGAATTGTTTATACAGACATGCCAAAATACTAGCATTCTTAATGCTTGTCTGTTTATTTCTGTGCAGGTTTATAGATAAATCAGATGTTACTATAACAAGAGAATAGTTATGAGGATAGAAAAGACTGCTGCAAAAACCTCTAGTAATGGGTATTTCTAGATCTGGAGATGTTACTTCATATAAAATTGTTAATAGTTTATAAAAGAAGTATGGATTTGTGTTAGATTCCATAGTCAAGCATAAATTATAAAGGCAGTTTTATTTCAATGAGGCAATAAAGTTTCTTCCATTGTGTCCCAAAAGTAAAGGGGGAATGTTTAAAGTTGGTTTAAAAATTCTGAAGTATTTCAGATTACAAGCTGCTTTTGAATTTATTCTCAGTGTATGCTGCACTAAACTAATACTTTTCTTCCTAGCAAGTTTCCTCCTTCAGTTCGTATGTTTTCTCCCTGCAAAGCAATACTTAGTATTCATGCAGTTGTTGAGCTATTGAATAGAACCTGTTAAGTGTTAAATTAAATTTTTTTTTTTTGTCGTTGTAGGAAGAAATCTGCTTCATCTAATTCAATCCTAATTCAGTCCTGCTAATCTGCTAATACTGTAGATTGAAAGATTTTTTTGCTGTTGCCAGGATACCCTGTAATGGGCAAGGAGCCTGAAAGAATACAAATCGTTCTGTTTTTTTAACTTAAAATTTTGTGTTTAACAGGTAAGAAACTATTAAAACTTCACCTACAGCTGTAGATTTAGCTTCTGCATCTGTAAAGCCTTATCTTAAACTTTAAGTGGTTCCTGAATGTTTTTCATATCCCTGATGTCTACTAAAGGCTTATTTACCTGATTTCTGTAGGTTCACATTTACCACCTTCTAAGCTGCGCTTCCTTCTGCAGTGCAGACTTTGTGGCCCTTCCTTCCCTTTCCTTGCAGCTTTTTTCTGAGTACTTTTTCTAGTTGGCTGTTTCTAACTTTGTCTTTTAACCCACCCTGCTGTTGCATTATCTTCCTCCTCGGTTCTGCTTTGGTCTTACAATGAGAATCAAGGGTTGTCTAGACACACTGTTGTGGTTATTCTATTTGTTTTACAGGGAACATGTTTTAAAGTGTTTTGGTTTTGTGCCAGGAGGTGTATCTGCTGCCCAGCCTCCAATTCTTTGGAAGAGTTTCAAAGCAAATGTGTTCATGAACTGACATATATTAGGTATGGATGATGTTTGGCACTATAGGTTATTATATTGAAGTATGGTGACACTGTCTTCTGCAATTGAATTTTTGGCACTAAACTGCGTGCTTTAGTTAAATTGTCTTCTGGGTAGCTATGCATTGTTTAGCTTGCTTTTTGTAATATTATGAAACCATCTACTTTTCTCAGTATATAGATAGCTTCATTTCCATTTTGAAGATAATTGGGAGAATTCTGTGAATATTTTAAATGTGTAAATGTTTGACTGAAGTGGAGTTACTAGATAATGATTCATCTTTCTACTTGGGCAGGGAAGATCAGTATCTTAATTTGTAGTTATTGCAAGTAATTAAGATCTATATTTATTAACTCTTATTAACCTGTGGTTTGAGATAGTGTAGGAATTGACAAGGATACATTTTGTTTGGTATAAAATTGCTCTTGTAACTTCATTGCAAACTGTAGAGTTCAGCTGGTTTTTGTACTTTCGCTGGATGGTTATGACCTCTTGAATTTGAGGGATTGGTGTCTTTGAGTAAACATTAACTAGTTTGGACCTGTTTATGTACTTCAGCATGTCAAAGCAATTGATTATTTGGGCATTCAGTCATAATAGGAATGTGTATATATATGCAGATGATAGATAATTGTATATATTATGTAAAAAAGTGTATATATAGTATCTATAAGGATAAAAGTGTATTTATAGTATCTATGTGTATATGCTCTGTGTGTATATATGTAGATAGAAGTGCAGCTAGTGTGTATAAATAAGGGAGGCTAGTGTGATAAAGGGTGAAAGTCATTTCACTTCTTTCTCAGTTCTTAACTTTTGCAACCATAGCAGGCTCCCACTTCCCTTGTCTGATAGGCAAGTGAGAATCCATGCTTATTAGATAATTTGCCTCATTAGGAAGAGGAGGCAGCAGCTGTTACAGAAGATGTTATGAAAATTACTGTGCCTCATAGAGTTTTCTGACTTGTTTCTCTCCCAGTCAAGAAAGGACTCCACATGTTGTCCCTTGCTCACATTTCACTCTTGCCTTCTGAAAATATAGCAGTTAGCCAAGGAGCATATGTGCTACAAAAGACTATAATGGCTGAAAGGAATTGTATCTCTAGTACAAGCATAAATTGTGCTGTAGGCAGTGAATATGCTGAAGTGTTTGTCTTGTTTCCGAAACATTGGTTACCCAGGAATCATTGATGGTATTTGGGAGAAGGTGTAGTGTTTTGGGTTTTGGTACATAAGTGAAACTTTATCTGTAAATGGTTTAAAACACTGGAATGTCAATGACTTATGTACAAGTAGTGTTCCCCCACAATTCCTTAATTTTATAACTTCATGGTGGTGAGGTTTTACTAAGATGATTAGATAGATTCATAGAATGGCTTGGGTTGGAAGGGACTTTTAGAGGTCATCTATTCCAACACCCCTGCAATGTGCAGTGACATCTTCAACTGAATCAGGTTGCTTAGCCCCATCCAACCTGACCTTGAATGTTTCCAGGGATGGGGCATCTATCACCTCTCTGGGCAACCTGTGCCAGCGTTTCACTACCCTCAGCATAAAAAACTTTTTCCTTATCTAGTCTGAATCTACCCTTTTTTGGTTTTATAACCATTACTCCTTGTCCTATCACTACAGGACCTGTTTAAAATGCCTGTCTCTATCTTTCTTATAAAAACCCCCTTTAAATATTGAAAGACTGCATTAAGGTGTCCCTGGAGCCTTCTGTTCTCCAACTCTCAGCCTTTCCTCATAGGAGAGGTTCTTCAGCCCTCTGATTTTTGTGACCTCCTCTGGACCCATTCCAACAGGTCCATGTCTTTCCTGTACTGAGGACTCCAGATGAGGTCTCACCAGAGTGGAGTAGAGGGGGACAATCACCTTCCTCGACCTCCTGGTAATGCTTCTTTTTATGCAGCACAGGATATGGTTGACTTTCTGGGCTGTGAGCACACATTGTCAGCTCATGTCCAGCTTTTCATCCACCAGTACCCCCAAGTCCTTCTCTGCAAGGCTGCTCCCGATCCCTTCATGCCCCAGCCTGTATTGATACTGGGAGTCACACTTGGCCTTGTTGAACCTTGTTGGGTTCACATGGGCCCACTTCTCAAGTTTGTCCAGGTCCCTCTGCATGGCACGCCATCCCTCAGGTGTGTCAACCGTATCACTCAGCTGGGTGTCATTGTAAACTTGTTGAGGGTGCACTAAATCCCACTGTCTGTGTTGTTGATGAAGACATTAAACAGCACTGGTCCCAGTACAGACTCTGAGGAAAGCCATTTGCCACTGATCTCCATCTGAACATTGACAGCTGCTCTGGATGCAACCATCCAGCCAATTCCTTATCCACCAAATAATCCGTATCTCCCCAATTTAGAGAAGTATGTGGGGGATTGTGTCAGAGGCTTTACAGAACTCCAGATAAATGACATCTGTACCTCTTCCCTTGTCTGCTGATATAGTCATTCCATCCTAGAAGGCCACTAGGTTGGTCAGGCAAGACTTGACCTTAGTGAAGCCAGGGTGGCTGTCTCAAATCACGTCCCTGTCCAACATGTGCCTTAATGCAGCTTCTAGGAGGATCTGTTCTATGAGCCTCCCAGGCACAGAGGTGAGGCTGACGGGTATCTTAACTGAATAAGGTCACTCAGAGCTGCAGCCAGCCTGACCCTGACCACTTCTGGGAAGGGGCAGGGCAGGAGGCATCAGGCATCCACAGCTTCTCGGGGCAACCTGCTTCTGTGTCTTGCCACCCTCACAATCAGAGGCAGTTCCCTCAGCCTGCCTCTGTGCTGTGTGCCTTGGCCCCTCACCATCTTGAAGGCCCTATGCTGGGCCCATGTTCCATATATCGGTGTCTGTCCTGGACTAGAAAGACCAGGAGGGGACAGGAGTCCAGGTGCAGTCACCAAAGTACCAAGTAAGAGAAGAGGAAAGCATTTTTACTGTTATGTTTGATTGTTTTAGGGTTTTTAAAAATTTTGTATTGCCTGACCTTGAGGAGGACTGCTAATGAAGCAGGGAAGGGACCTTAATGCCACAGGCCAGCACTTCTTTCTGGCAGAGCTGCAGTCTTCTGCTTCTCTAAATGAACAACTGTCTCTATTTTTTTTGCTAAATCTGTTGCTGTTCTTCAAGCACTGCCACAGATGGTCTGGCTTCATCTCCAGCCATGCATTGGATAGCCTTCTTGACCTCAGACTGAAGAAACCCCACTTTCAGGCCCCAGGGACCTCAGTGGCCCTCTGAGGGACGACTTCTGTTGCCCCAGTGCAGCAGTCTGATGGAAGCCAGGTCATCTTGTCCCCTTTGCTTGGGACTCACAGCAGAGGAGAGGGCACCCCTTCAGAAGGCGTGAAGGATGGTAAAAGAGAAGAGCTCACACCCACCCAACCACAGCAATCAACAAAATTGTTAATGCTGGGTGACCCTGTGGGACAGCCAGGTGTGGAGGCTGGGCTGATCCTAGGGCATTGGTTGGGTGCCTCTGCAATGCCTTGTTGATGGTGTCATGGAGGGAAACTCTAGCACAGTGTAGTGGTGCCAGGGGAGCCATACAAGAGGTGGATCCACTTCCAACAGTTATTCTTGATCTTGGGGTGGATCCACCTCCATGGACTCCACACCATCAGCCACATGAGCGATGGCTGTTGCTACCATATGGCTGATGGTTCGCCCCCTCTGAAGCTGCCTCCTCTTCATCTGTGTCTCCTGCAACCACCTATCTGCCTTCCCACACAGAAGCAGACAGCCACTTGCCTTGCTGCTATGGGGGACCTGTTTGTTCCAATTATCCTTGGAATCCAAGGGACTTGAATAAGCTCAGTGACTTGGGGCCAGCTGCTCGCATCCCTGTATTTATAGTGCCTGGAGAAAAAAGCAGTGAGGTGGCTTGTGACATCAGGAGGCCACTGCGATGGCAGTAGATGTGGCCAAATATGGCTGTTCAGGGAGTTTGGGGGGGCTGTGGCCTGAAAGTTGTTATCATGGAAGAAGGATGAGGGTCAGGGGGGCTGAAAGCCCCTTTCCTGTGCCATTCTGCTGCATCTTGGGCACAGGGACTGCCGGATGCCTCCCCTTGTGTGCCTTGGCTCCACCCCCTCCTCATCCCATCTCTGGGACCCCCTAGGTGAGGTAGTGGCAACAGCGTGGCAGGAGGATGGGAGAGTCCTCGGTGATGTCCCACCGGTCATGTCCCACCGGTCTGGCTCCCTGCAAGTAGTGCAGACCCTGGTGCCTAGCAGTGGCTGAGAGGGGACGAAGAGTCCAGGCATCCTGCTGGTGGGCAGGAGAGGTGCAGGCAGACTGCACAACGTCTCCTAGCACTCCATAAAAGAATTGGTTGTTTTTTTGTCTTCCTTCCACTATCTTTTTTAGTTTGTTATGTCCTTTTAGAAATGGGAGTGCCAGGACTGTGCACAGTATTTTAAATATGGGTGCAGTATGTGTGGAATTCTTGAGGTAAAGGTGTTTTGTATTTTGTGTTCTATTTCATTCCTTTTAATTTCAAATCATCTATTGGCTCCCTCCTCCACAAAGTTTCTTTGAAACTTCACTGGCTTCTATTATTAAAAGTCTAATTGTTAGTGTAAGTAATGGAGATTTCTCAAGAACTAGGGCTTGCGTTCATGGCCTGTGTAACAGTAATGCAATCTTTCTAGCTAATAACACTCACAATGAACCTCACTGCTTTAACCGAAAATAAATTTATTTTCAAATAGGTTATTGGGTAAGTATGGTCTCTATTGTATTTGAAGTATTTAGAATAAAACTAAGGAACAGTTGAGAGTGGAGTTTTTCCACTACCTAAAAAACATATTATTTTAATAGGAGAGAAGATAGAGTTCTTTTTTTCACCTGAACTCTTGATGCAGAAGCAGCAATATGTGCTGCTGCATATGTCAGATTTTCTCGCATTCTTCAAATGGGGAATTCAGTTACAGCATAACTGTGTGTTGCTGTAAATTACCATTACTGAAAAGAACTGCTTTGTTCAAGATCTTCAAGCTGGAATGCAGCTGTATTATTTTTTCATATTATTTGTTCAAATTGCCCTTGATGCTAGACTAAGTGCATAAGTGCTTGACTTTCCCAGTTAATAGGTCTTGGGATATACAATGCTTTGAGGAATTGTGCCTCAGCCTACACAGGACAGGCAGTTGAAGACATCCACTTTGCAGTGGGTGATGCTCTGGCTGAGTGTAATAGGCAGTTTAAAAAGTAGCCACTAGTGTCTTCTCTGTCAATTTGGTGACTGGCAATTCTGTTCAGCTAAATTTTTCAGATGTGCTCTCATGCCTAGCTTTGCTTTGAAGAGGTGGTCCATTGCCAGTGTTAAACTAAGCACTTTATAAATGCTAATGTGGTGTCTAATTACTGTCCATAGTTTGGAGAAAGGTGGGGGGGCGACCAACCCACAAAACTGGAAACTACCTGGAGACTAACTGGTTGAGGTCATGTGAAGCTGGCAGAAGGGCATGCAAAGCATTATAAAGACATCTCCTAATGCATTTAAAGGTCTTTAAAATGTTGGTAAACTCTCTTTTAATGATAAAAGCATAAGAATTTATCTTCATCATTACTTTGTCCTTCCCCAAACCTACCTACCTATTTGGTTTTTAGAAGGCAATGGATTGTTTGCATTAGAAGTGCTTTTATTGTTAAGAAATGTAAGACCTTATGGAAAGCCTGTAGAGGTATGAAGGACTCCTTTGGCGACTGCTCTCCTTGCATCCAACAACCAAGTTGTGCATAGCAACTAGCAAAAGACGAGTTGTAAAACCCTGTTTTGTTGAAGCAAGCTACATAATTTAGGATGTGTTTCAATCATGGAAAAGCTTGTCAGTGCCAAAGTGATATTTATCTGTGCACTTGAACACTATAGCAAGAAAATAGGATGGTACATAAAGAAAATTGACAATTATGCTTTTTTATATTACAATCTTCATTATAACTCTTTATGTAGCATTTCTCAGACTTTCATATATTACAGAATCTTCAGTTGACACTGACATGCTTTTTCTAAAAAAAAAAAAAAAAAGTTTCTTGGTTTCTTGCTTGTGAAATGAAACTGAGTATTGCTATAAAATCTTGTGATTGTTTAGGCCCTGCCAGGACCAGAGACCACATTGCCATTGTCCCTCCTCCACCCTCGGACCAAGTAGGGCACAAACCTCGGGGTTAAAATAAGGTGAAATTTAATACAACAGTGTAATAAACAATCTGAACAACAATAATAGCAATAATAACAACAATAACCAGTAATAACAGTAAACAAGACAAAAGATATACAGAGAAATACCGCAGTGAATGCATCCAGCCTGCTCTGCGTGCTTCCCGTGACCAAAGCCACAGAGGGAAGCTTCCCGCTTTTCCATGAAGGACCTGACAACAGCATGGTATGAATAACCTGGCTGGAGATTCCTTCCCCCTGCTTGGGAGAAACTTAACCCTATCCTAGCTGAACAGGACAAATCTGAAGTTCTACCAGTAACTGTGTATATGCTTTTCACATCCAGTTGTTAGGTAAAACAGCCTTCGGCTGTGTAGCTGAGGTCCTTCTAGTTTTCTTTCTGCACGTTTCGATCCCTGTGTCTGCTTGTAGCTACCAACACTCCAGTGGTACCAAGTTGGAAGTAACTCCTTGCAAAGTGTGTTTCTCATGTTTGTTTTACCTAGGTATGATGATTAAAAGTTTAACTTAAATGAGCAGTTTAATAGTTTTACTTACTGAAGGGAATTTTAGATGCTTTAAAGTAGTAAGTCTGTTTTGTAGAAGGTTCATATAGGAGAGACATTATCCAAAATTAAGCTGTGCTTGTCTGACAGGAATTCATGTCTTCATCCTGTAGCTTGAAAGCAGGAATGTCTGTATTCAGGAAAGGTATTGGACAGCTGTGTTGACTCCAAGCTGTGGAGAAACTTACTGATACAATTGTTACAAACTTTTTTGATGGAGATGCCAGTTAAGCATTTGGCTTCTAGGAAGAACCAAGACTGGTTACTACTAAACAAAATACAGTATGGTGTTTTTCAGCTGGAGTAGGCAGAAGACTTCATTTATTTTAGGGTTTGTTTTTTTTTTTTCTAGTCTGAAAGCTTCTAAGCTTTATTTCTTCTCTTTAGCAAACAATTCAAGTGAGAATTTGTTACCTGTATCTCAGAGCAGTTGAGAGGCTTTCTTCATTTTGGTCGACTGCTTGGCTGCCTTTCAGATTTAAGTCAGCTGTTTACTACATGGAATGTCATTTTAGTATTTGTTCAGAGAAGAATCTGTTAGTGATATTAATGAAGAAAGCAAGGCAGTATTTCTGAATGCTAGGTGTTCCTTAGGATCTTGAGGTGTCAGCAGGTTGATGTATGCTTTCAGAATGACTCCATCATTTGGAAGTGTTAGTCTTGCTTGCCGGGAACTGACAGAGATTATAGAATGCTAACTCAAGTTACAAAAGACAGTCAAATATCTGCAGCAGCTCTACCATCTTTATCACAATTTTTCTTTCCACATCTCAGTTTTTAGTGTATTATCCTGGATTATTTTGCTTCTTGTAGTATCTAATCTACAGCATGTCTTGTATTTGGCAGTCTTTTGCATCTTGCATTGAATCCAAATGTTGTGATTTTTCTGCTCATATTGGCAGTGGAATTGAACATTGGGTGTAACACAACCCAGCTGACCTGTGGAGTTATTCATAAAATTTTCAGATAGTGAAATTTTGGGAGGAACACTCTCGATCTGTGCACATAAGGCCTAATTCTGATTCTGTTAATGGGAATGAAATTTGAAAAAGCATGAAGATCATTCAAAATTTCAGAATTTGTATGCTTGGGGAGGGAGGGTAGAACACTAGGCTGTGGGAACAATAACAGTAAGTTTTTGTTTTTAAAACTTCCACTCATAACTATTGTAGGTTGATTCTAGATTATCACCAGTGATAACGCCTAAGAAAATTCTCTTCTCTTCAGGGTTCCTGGATTTCCTCTTTGGCACATTTTATGTTATTTATTTTTCCTTATTTCAAAGGACCTGGGCTCCTGTTGAAAAGTGATGGAATAATCTCTGGCCGGCACCTGACATGTTGAGGGAGCACCCCCTAAAAGAGCTTGCCTGGGAGACAGTTTGTGAAATAACGCAGTAACATGTTTGCAGTAGTATGCCTCTCTCTTTTTTTTTTTTTTGTTGTTGTTGCTATCTTCCATTGTTGAATTTCTCTTGAAATAAGTAACTGAGAAATACATTGAAGCTACTGAAATGAGCTTTAATCACTGCAGAGGGATTTACATCTGGAATTAGCATTGATAGTGGTTACTTGCAAAGATGCTACTTTCACTAATTGGGGCAAGGGGAGGGATTTGATCTACTTTCTAAAGGATTAAAACCAAAACCCAAACAAAATATCATGTGACTTCAATAATGTACTAGTTTCACTTGCTTACAGTAAGTCTGTGTGTAGCCTTTATACCCACAAGCTACTGTTTTTAATAACTGTGTAATTTGATGTAAATTAATTTGTGAGATCAGGTGTTTTGAACCCTGCTTGTAAGTTTACTAATACTTTTTAGTAGAAAATACTTGTTTGTTTGGTTTTTTTAACCCCTTAATCCTTGCATGGGATCTCAGATGATTATAAGTACTGATACTGCAATTGAAATGATCTATACTATTTCCTGATTGATTTTGTTTGACTCCCATATCTTCAAACAAAGGTTTGTAATCTAGGGACAGTTATGTGTGCTTACAACTTCTGACAAAAGGCTAAGCAAAGTAAGGTGATATTAAGTGATCAGCATGTAATGGTTAAAGCAACAATGAAAAGCCTAAAATCTATTAAAACTTCTCCATAGTGAGTATATCAGACTTTTTTCAATTTTTAGGCCAGATACTGGAAGTCTTGCTAATGAGGAGAGTCATAAGGGTTTTGCTGGATTTTTGGAGCTGTATCCATTTTCTAAACTGATTAAGTACTAAATTTGACACTTCACTGTTCTAACTAACTAGCGTGCCTGCTGAATCCATTTTAACTTGGAAATAAATGTTTAAAGCTGTCTACCTCTTAGTTTGCACAATAACTAGATATTTCTGATTTAGTTTTTGTAGGTTTTTATAAGTGTATATGACAAAAGCATAGCTTGATTATTGTCTTTAAGCTTGCTTCTGCATACAACCTGCAGCTTACGGAACAGTCCGCACTAAAATAGTACTATTCACCTACATTCTCTGTGGTAACTACATGGCCTCGCAGCTGATGTTGCTAATGCACAGCAGTAATTAATGTATTGAATTAATCCTTCACACTTGGAAGGCAGTCACTAAAGGAGCAGAAAGGAGTGTTTCTCTCCTTATTTAAATAAGTACTGCTCAAACCCATGCTGCTTCCAATTGTAAGGAAATAAAAGTTTCTCTTACTCTTCTATAATATTTGTAGTATCTCTTTCAATCCGCTTAAATTCTGCAATAAAAACACATAAAATCAGTTCTCACATAAAATCAGTTGATGCTGTGTCAGCAGTTAAATGTCATGTAAAAGCCCTTGTTCTGGAGGCGGGGGT